TGTCCTAGATAATATTTAGAACTTCAGGATTTTTGATTCAACACTTATTTATGTCTATACCTAAAATCAATAAGATAACACCCAATTGATACCTGACTTTTAATAGTTTACTCAGTAGACCCCCAAGCAACTAGTAGCTGAATCTTTGAATTATACTACAAATTTCCTGAATAAAACACTAGTTGTAGTTTAAGAAGGAAACCACACACTATCCAATAGCCCGCTCGTAGTTTACTTTCTTACCTTAAATTTGCCTTAACCCTTTGGATATCAAATTCTGTTGGGTATCAGGTAACTTGGTACACATACCTAGACCCCATCCTACTTCAAAAAATGTGGTCTTCAATGTTGTTTAGTAGAGTCTCAGGTGATTCTGATATAGACCAAAGTTCGAGAATTATTGATGACATTTTTGGATATCAAATTCTCTTAAAGAATATAACCATTGATGTGGGTTTTGAGGGAACCAAAGGATATGGATATTAGATACAGTAATAGCAGTAACTTCCTTGAAAACCATGATTACCAACCATGTAATTGGAGGTAACTTGTAGTTCTCACCAATAACAGCATACCCAGTAGGTAGAATTTGAAGGAACTTGGTGATGTTGATTTCTCATCCTTCCTTGAGAATGGAATAGAAATTGCACATACCCCTTGCTCTTGAGAGGATAAGAATCAAGAATCCTCCTTAAATAAATCCTGTTGAGTTTTCCCATGACCCAACTGGGACTTCTCAGTCTCCAGTTTTCCCAGTAATGCCCTAACCAATAAACCTGCCAATTAAGCAACTGAATATCATTATTGTGAATGTAATTACAGACAGTAATTATGAGCTTGTAAATGTGTCTCGTGAATGGAGCCCTTTTCCCAAACCATCTCAGCTGCTTTTTTTTTTTTTTTTTAGGAAAGTGGAAGGCAATCCTATCCCTGGCCTCACCCCAAACACAGCTTCCCTTGCTTAGAAGAAACCTCCTTCTTGCTTGGCCCAAGGGAGATGCAGAACAAGCTTTAATCGGCTGTGCTTGATGGGAGAATGTTTCCCTGGGATAGAGTCACTTTCAGCGTCACTCATCCAAACATTGTTTTACTAGGGAGCAGTAACTGCCCAGTTTGGCTGTATTTTTTTCTTTTTCTTAATTTCTGTTGGACCAGGGGTTTTAATACCAAATTTTCAGAATTGCTACAGGAAAAACAAAAAAATGTTGGAGGCTTATACAAAATAGTCTGAGACTTGAACATTTTTTAAATTGAGCTTTACAGGATGCAATTTGCTGAGGATTTAGAGTCCCTGGATATAAAGTAGACCCATAGAAACATGCCTGAGTGATAAGACTTTGCATATCTGTAGCAATGAATCTCTTGGGGCCCAGAATTAACCCTTGCATTCAGTAGCTTTATATTTAGCTCATGAAAACCTTAAACCTTCATCAATAGAAGGTGCTTGAATAAGTTCTGCAGAGATATGTTTCACTTGAAATCAATGTAATCCTGCACATCTCAATCTGTTGTTTCCCGTTTAGTGGGGAGTGAGTAGAAATGCCTGTAATTACCCCAGTAGGTGCCATGGTAGAAAAGTACAGAAACTGGATCCAGGCGTTTTGATTCACAGTCAATGAATGACACTGTATAAAACTTGGAGAAGAAAGAACTCATGTTCATTTCACTTACCTGAGACAATGCCTAGGACACCTCTTTGCATCAAGTGAATCTTTCATTCTTCTCTGAGTAAGACCTACTGTTACATCCAAAAGCTAGCACACTGTAGGACTTTATTTTTTTCATTTGCCAGAGGGCATGTGCACTTGCCAGAGAGAAATAGAGAGAGCAGGAGAAAGAGGGGGAAAGCACATCGAACGAGTGTGGTCGTGCTGCAATTCCCTCTTCGTTTCTTCGTCCTGTTGGGGTTGGGTATGCACACGTCTGACATGTATTTCAAGCCACCAGGTCCAGGACTCAAACCGCAGTTGGCCATTTGGGGTCTGGTTTTCTTCATTACAAGGCCATGGGGACTTATGACGTACTGGCCAAATTAAGCTGTTTCAAGCCACAGCATGTCCATTTATTTTGACTAAGAAATCAAGTGTCGATTGTTACTTGAGTGGTGTTATTGATAACAGTCTTTTCCTGGAGTAAAAACAGAAGGTTCATGGGTATCGCATGTTTCTTACAGTATCATGAAGACCAGAAAGACAATTGCAGCTTCCCAAAGTGTCTGGGAATAGTTTACACTTCTACAGAAACCCTCCTAATCAATATCAAGTGAAGACATCCGGTAGCCTTAGAGAGCATGCTTAGGACAATCTAAAGCATTTTTCAATAATTTGTTAAATAATTTAAAGTTCATTTTAAATATTTGAAAGGCAGCTTAAAATTCCCTGGTCATCGTGAATTTGTTTCTCTAAGGACTAAAGATATGATTGTCCGTGGTCTTCTGTAATTTCAGCATTAAAAAAAAATGCCTATATATATAGACTCTCAATCACTATATATGATCACTTTAAGAGGGACTCTATTTATATCATATTTTTTCTAATTTTGATGAACAGTAGCCTAAGAATTTCTGGAAATATGGGTGACCAGATGGATTATGTTTTTAAAATGTATACAGTATGCATACATATGTACATATATACATATATATGTATATATGTGTATATATATATAAGCTTGCTCATTTTTGCTCTATGTACAGTAAAGATATTCAAAGAGGTAAAATTTTTCACCAGAGATGCTTAGTGTGAGAACTTATTTATTCACTTATTCCATTTGTGTCCAATTTCTACAGACCAGACCCTCAATTCCCCCCAAATTCAATAGAAAATATATGTAAGATACATAAGAAAATTACCACCCGGTACCATAACCAAAGAGTTTTGCACTCATCATTCTATTATTAAGGTTCTTAATTTCCCCCATAGCTAAAGCACCTGCTTCCCTTCATCTGTTCTCATTGATAATTCAGGGCTACACTGAAATCATTCACAAAGCTTCTATTTGTAAGATCTAGGAGGGGTTTTTGTTTGTTTGTTTTTGGTCATCGGTGTTAGAAGGTGGTAAGGACAGGGTTGTCACTCAGTGTGACCACGTGTGCATGCTCATTTAGGTAACAGGGCCCCTCAGGTCAGCCTGTGATAAAACCCAAGTCAAACAAGGCTGGATCCTGGATGTTTTATGTCCTAAGGATCTGAAAAGTGTTCATGGCCAGCCCTGACCCTCAAGACCTCAAATGGTCATCTAAGCAGTAACATAAATTGGTGTAAACTCGCTCACCAGCCATTGCTGGGGAAGCAGGACTAGTGAAAGCACAGCCTTGCCACAGAGAAACTAATATCTTTCTAGGCACTAAAAATAAGGGGGGAATGTGTTGATTCCTCCTACAGGCAATCCAACTGCAGTGGCTAAATGCCCAAAGCTGACAAATTCTGCATCTTCTCACTGCCGTCAAGTGGAGGTGCATGTGAGTACTGTCAGCCCAAAAGAATTGACAAACAACTTGCCTTCCAAAACTCTACATCTCAGCAAAATCTTGACAATGCCAACAGCTCGTCATCTCGTGTTTTTCAACCCTCCAGAAAATGGCCTTCCAGCCTGGGACAAACCGAAGCACTGCCCAGACCGAGAACACGACTGGAAGCTAGTAGGAATGTCTGAAGCCTGCCTGCATAGGAAAAGCCATTCGGAGAGGCGCAGCACATTGAAAAATGAACAGTCGTCACCACATCTTATCCAGGCCAGTTGGACTAGCTCGGTATTCCATCTGGACCATGACGATGTGAATGACCAGAGTGTCTCGAGTGCCCAGACCTTCCAAACAGAAGAGAAGAAATGTAAAGGTAACCAGATTTTTGTTAGACCATTACCAAATTCTCAGTTAACTGTGTCCTTTGTCTCCGTGACAGCCAATGTATGGTGTCCGTGTGTGTCTCCCAACTGTTGTGTTCTGGAGGTGCCTTCATCCCAAACCTCCTTTTCAAAATCAATAAGTCAGTGAGGTCCAAAAAACAAAGGCAATTCATTTTAGTTTCGTGATGTGTGGGGACACTCAGAGAAGACATCTTATTTCTCTAATTAGCAGAAGGATTGTTGGTTTTGGCCTTAATTCTATCTCTGGATTGGAGTTGAAACAAACAGAGCTACAACTGTCTATTTGCTTTGAAGTGTGTGTGCGTGTTTCTTTTCTCAGTTGTACCAACTAGTTAATGGACTCTCAACACCCACCTTTAACCTAAATAGAAACTCATGTTTA